TTTTGTGTTGCCTAGATTTTAGAAATCCACCAAGTATTTGGGACTTGTTTTTAGCCGTTACTTCTTGTTTCTTAAAATGTTTTTGTCTTCTTCGAGACGATTGGGAATTAATTACCAGACTTTTGTCGGCTTTAGGTTGAGTGATTGTCATGATTCATTCATGACGTTATTACACACAAACAACAAATGTGTTTAAATTTAAACTTGAAACACAGCTTAAGTTTCTAACTTAAGACTCTCGAAGAGCCTCGACTCCAGCCACAATCTCCAGCAGCTCCCCAGTGATCTTAGCTTGCCTCGCTCGGTTATAAGCCGTCGTAAGATTCTTCTTCAATTCAACAGCATTATCAGTCGCGTTACTCATGGCGCTCATCCTCGACGCGAGCTCACTCGCTAAAGACTCCTGCAGTGCTCTTAAAATCTGACTGTTCAAATACAAAGGCATCATTGCATCGAGAATCTGAACAGGGTCTTGCTCAAACTGCATCAACGGTGAAATCTCCGGTTTCTCGATTTCAATCCTAGTCCTTTCCACAGCTAATTTCCCGTCTTTGCTCGTTAGCCTAAACATCTCATCCTCCATAGCATCAACACACTCTCCATTCGCATCACAAGACTCTCCTTTCATCGACAACGGCAACAAAGTGTGAATCACAGGATCAGATTTCACTAAAGACACAAACTTTGTGTAAACAAGCTCAACTTTATCAACCTCTTCACTCACAAACAAGGAAAACACATCATCTGCAATAACTTGAGCTTCTTTAACAGTAGGAAAAACTCCTCCTCCTTGTATACATTTATCGACATCAATCTCGTCTCTCCGACTAAAATACGAATTCCCTTTCTTACCTACGCTTATCACAACGCAGTCTATACCTCTCTGCTTCAACTCTTGAATCCTTAAACTAGCTTTCTTGATCACCGAATTGTTGAAACCACCACACAAGCCTTTATCACCAGTTACAACAACTAAAGCAACTCTCTTTACGGGTCTGATTATACTCAGAGGAAAATCAATGTCTTCCAATTGAGCAGATTGGTTAATCGAGTGGAGAATCCCGACAAGGGTTTCGTTGAAAGGTCTACACTTGATGACTGCTTCTTGAGCTCGACGAACCCTAGCAGCCGCAACGAGTTTCATTGCTTCGGTTATCTTCTGTGTGTTCTTCACACTATCGATTCGTTCTCGTAGCTCGCGGATTCCAGATCGAATTAGAAATGAGGGAAACGGAGATCTCGATGGACTCCGAGATTGAAATGGATAACAGCGAAATGGTTTCTGTGTAGCTAGGAAAGACAACGAGTCTGAGCCCGAATACGAAGGAGACGATAGGAGCCGCGAGGTCGAGATCGAACCTGCCATTTTCGTTTGGGGAAGAAGAGTTGAAAGTTGAAAGGTTTTAAGCTTTTTTTTGTCGAGGAGAAAAGACTAGAGATAGATAATTTCAGGGGTTTTTCATAATTATAATGTTAAAGAGGGGTTATTATGTAAACATAAAATACTAGTACCAAAGTAGAGTTTTCGGTAAGAAACACGAGGGAAGTGTTGTCAATTACCCACGATAAGTTGGTGAGGGAGACCGTAAGTAGTTGATTCATAGCATCGGTTTTATATTTGTCTTCTACGTTAAATCTGCAAAATCTTTTACCGGCAGACTTTTTTGCTTTTTAAATGTAAATATCATTAATGAAAATAACGTTTAGAGTTACAAAGGATTAACTACAACAATAAGTTACGCCTATGAAGTTGAATCCATAGAAACAAAAAACAATCGGTACATGTTCAAGATTTTTAGCGGTGAAGCAATGGATCCCAAGAAATTAGCGATAATGATCCTATAATCACCGTGCCAAGATGTAATATGGTATCCAGAAAAGGAGAAATAAATAAAGAGTTCAATGAAATGCTCATAGCACTAAAAGAAACATGTTCATCTGGTAGCATACACTAAGCCATCGTATCCTAAGAGCCAACAAGCGAGTTACCAAAAGCTGCCTCAACACCAGTGAAGGAAACTCAACCATCAAGACTTAGGAACCAACGCTTAAAATAGACTATACTAGCCAAAGAAGCAATAAGCTAATAAACTCAACCAAATTCACATCCCTGAAGTTGGTTCTTGCTTAACTTTGCGACAATCAAATCCATAGCCTTACTAGGTCGTCCAATAGCGAAGAAAACACAACAATAACCAATCTCGAAACTAAGCCAAATTCATCCACACTAATAATCTATCTTCAGCACACGAGAATAAGTAATACTACCATAATTCACACACTAGACATATAAAAAGAGGCGATGAAATAGCGAAATACCATATATGAGGAAAACTAACCGAGAGAACGTTGGGTTTCCATAACAGGTAAGTGAAAACGTCAATTTTTAAATAAAAAAATTTTCAGTAACAAAATACCAGTAAATAATACGGATGTTTCATTTCGTGCATAATATTCTAAAATTTTGGACCGACGTTGATTTTCGAAACACTAAATTTTACTAAGGTTAATCAAAGTACTAAAATAAGTACTTACATAATCGTTTTTGTAACAATTTTTATAATTTATAATAAAAATAATAATAAATTCAGATGTTAAAAAACAAAAGAAAATACTAAAACAAAAATTTTGATTAGTATATCGTCAACAAACTATTATATACAGAAGAGGTTGAATTGAACTAACAAATCAAAATAAATGTACAGAATCTATATATTTATATGGCCCTTC